ATTTTGGACGACATGCTAACCTATGACTTTTTTTTTCATATTTTGGACGACATGCTAACCTATGACTTTTTTGTCAAATTTTGGACAACATACTAACCTATGACTTTTTTTTATCAAATTTTAAATGACATACTAACCTATGACTTTTTTTTATCATATTTCGGACGACATGCTAACCTATGACTTTTTTGTCATATTTTGGGCGACATGCTAACCTATGACTTTTTTCAGGGTTTCTGGACGACATGCTAATCTATGACTTTTTTGTCAAATTTTGGACGACATGCTAATCTATGACTTTTTTGTCATATTTTGGACGACATGCTAACCTATGACTTTTTTTTTCAAATTTTGGACGACATACTAACCTATGACTTTTTTATCAGTTTTCGGACGACATACTAAACTATGACTTTTTTAAAAATATTTTGGACGACATACTAACCTGTGACTTTTTTAAAAATATTTTGGACGACATGCTAACCTATGACTTTTTTTTCATATTTTGGACGACATGCTAACCTATGACTTTTTTGTCATATTTTGGACGACATGCTAACCTATGACTTTTTTTTTTAATATTTTGGATGACATGCTAAACTATGGTTTTTTTTCATATTTTGGGCGACATGCTAACCTATGACTTTTTTGTCATATTTTGGACGACATATTAACCTATGACTTTTTTTTCATATTTTGGACAACATGCTAACCTATGACTTTTTTTCATATTTTGGACGACATGCTAACCTATGACTTTTTTTTTTAATATTTTGGATGACATGCTAAACTATGTTTTTTTTTCATATTTTGGGCAACATGCTAACCTATGACTTTTTTAGGGGTTTCTGGACGACATGCTAACCTATGACCTTTTTGTCATATTTTGGACGACATGCTAACCTATGACTTTTTTAGGGGTTTCTGGACGACATGCTAACCTATGACTTTTTTTTCATATTTTGGACGACATACTAACCTATGACTTTTTTTTTCATATTTTGGACGACATACAAACCTATGACTTTTTTATCATATTTC